TTTTCGGTTTCGTTTGCTACTGAGGAAGAGAAAAACAGCCACCGCATGGATGTTTTAATAGAGGTTTCGCTCCACAAAAGACTCAAAGAGAGCAACCGGACACTTTTCTCCCCCAACAAATAACGTACGTGACTTGAAATCCCCGTTGTTATCATGGAAAACTTGTATCCTTGATCATTTAAATGCCTGAAAAGTGTAGCTGTCATGGTTTGCGTGTGGTTGCAACCGTTTTTGTTCTTTATTTTTTTACTTTAGCGTAGTCTGTTATAAGTAGCTTGTTTTTTAGTTTCTCTCGCTCACTTTCCTCGATTTTGTTGACAGTATTTTTCTCTTAGCACCGCATTTTCAATATATTTAGCCAGAAAGACGTACTTTTTACTGTGTTCGGATTTTTGGAATATTTTTTTGACTTTTCCATCGTTGTTTTGCGCACAAAATTAAACTCGTCGTCGTCTGCTGAAAACCATGGCCATTTTCTGGAATTTTGTTGTTAAAACAGCTCTGATGTGATAGGTTATTGGTGGTTTCTTTTGTGTTTTCAGCCAATCAGAAACAATTTGTAATTTGCACTCGTGTTACACGTTTTGCACTCGTGTTACAAGTTTGCACTCGTGTCACAGAAGAACTGCACTCCTTTCTCAGCCAATCAGAATTGAGTAATTTTTCGTGTACCGTAAAATTCCGAAAATAAGCCCCTCCATGTATAAGCCCCTCCAAATATAAGCCCCCAAAACTCGTAACAAAAAACCCTCCGTTGAATCGCCCCTCCAAATATAAGCCCCCCCGGGGGGGCTTGTACTTGGAAATTACCCTCAAATACAAAGTAAAACAAAGCAAAAATAGTACATTTCATTCCAACTATAAGGTCGGCCCAATTGATTTTGAAACGCAACTTGCCCTCCGTAGATAAGCCCCTTCGAATATAAGCCCCTCCAAAAATAAGCCCCTCAAAAAGGGCCCTTGAAAAATATAAGCCCAGGGGCTTATTTTCGGAATTTTACGGTATATTATTATATGCTAAACCATGGAATAAGGTGTATTTATTTTTTACAACTTGCTTTGAAAGGTTCTGTCTTAATACAGGGTAACTGGTTTGTTTGGGTTCTCAAACTCCCGCTTATAAGCCCCCTGCCAGTTATAGGCCCACATTATGAGCCTTCCTTACCCGTAGCTTCTGCTCCAAATGCAATGAAATGACTTGAAATTTGAAATTTTTGCGACGTTTTGAAGCTTGATTTAAAACCAATAAAAGCAAAAAATATCTTGATCAGCACTGCTATATCTTGTTTTATAGCGCTTTTTCTTTTCCGGTTATAGACCCTCTCAGATATAAGCCCCTCCATTTATAGGCCCTTACAGATATAAGCCACTCCATTTATAGGCCCTCACAGATATAAGCCCCTCCATTTATAGGCCCTCACAGATATAAGCCCCTCCATTTATAGGCTTTCACAGATATAAGCCACTCCATTTATAGGCCCCCTCAGATATAAGCCTCTCCATTTATAGGCCCTCACAGATTTAAGCCACTCCATTTATAGGCCCCCTCAGATATAAGCCTCTCCATTTATAGGCCCTCACAGATATAAGCCTCTCCATTTATAGGCCCCCTTAGATATAAACCTCTCCATTTATAGGCCCCCTCAGATATAAACCTCTCCATTTATAGGCCCCCTCAGATATAAGCCACTCCGTTTATAGGCCCCCTCAGATAAAAGCGACTCCATTTACAGGCCCTCACAGATATAAGCCACGCGATTTATAGGCACTCACAGATATAAGCCACGCGATTTATAGGCACTCACAAATATAAGCCACTCCATTTGTAGGCCCTCACAGATATATGCCTCTCCATTTATAGGCCCTCACAGATATAAGCCCCTCCATTTATAGGCCCCCTCAGATATAAGCCACTCCATTTATAGGCCCTCACAGATATAAGCCCCTCCATTTATAGGCCCTCACAGATATAAGCCACTCCATTTATAGGCCCCTTCAGATATAAGCCCCTCCATTTATAGTCCCTCACAAATATAAGACACTCCATTTGTAGGCCCTCACAGATATAAGCCCCTCCATTTATAGGCCCTCACAGATATAAGCCACTCCATTTATAGCCCCCCCAGATATAAGCCTCTCCATTTATAGGCCCCCTCAGATATAAGCCCCTCCATTTATAGGCCCTCTTAAAACCCCTTATCAAGATGCATAAGCCCAGAGATTATAAGCAGCAGTTTACGGTATTTTTATATGAGGGTACCATACGCTGGTAATATAATTATAGTGTACACTGTACCTATCCACAACTTCTCCTTTACGCTCTCTTCTCACCAGTGTTAGCAATGTTTGACAGAGATGATCTCTAATGTTACCATATCGTACAACCTTTAATAGGAAACAAACAACCATAAAACACAAGACAGATAATTCTATACAGCCATTTAAACCTAAAATAGAAACCAACACAAACTGACAAAACAACTCCAAAAAGTTTCAAAATCTACATGTGCGGTACGAGGAATGATATCAACAAAAAACTAACCAAGTCCCTGAACAGGATTAAGCCTAAGTTGTAAACATTATCAACTCCATTTTGTTGAACATACACTCTATCCTGAAAAAAAGATAGATAATATTGTAATAAGCCAAAGAAAGTGAGGAGACCAGTTCTTACAGTACATGTAGTAGTTTTACTATCAAAGCTAATTAGAAGACCTAAAACATTTTTTTAACTTGTGAGCCTGCAGAAACATTAATTTGTTAAATCCTATGGCAGGGATGTAGATAGAAGCCGTCAGCCGGAAAAAATCACCGGCTATTCCGAATAAATTTCCAGGTGATGTTCAGTTTTCCACGTGCACTAGCGCTAATCTGAAAAATGAGCATAGTAACAGCATAGAGAAAAACAGGAACAACCGACCGACCGACCCAATATCAGGAAACGTATTCGACGCTAAACGAAAAAAAAAGGGGGGGGGATGGCCATATTTCACATGTAGTGGGAGGTACGTAAAAACAAAATAGACAAAAAATATTGGAGACCTTTTTGTTTCATTTTGGAATTTTTACTTCGGCGGAGCGCAAAGTAAAGGATTCGCGACGCTCAGGAATGTATCAAAGTTGACATTTTTGGGACAAGATAGGGCACGCTAAGTCTGTAGGTTTTCGGTTTTATTTGGCTATTTGACGAAGTGAGAGCCGAATTAGTTCGAGATGTCTCGAGATCACTTCGATTTCTTTGATTTATTCTTTAACTTATTCGAGGAAGAAAGGATTAGTATTTTGGCTTTCCCGGGGTTTGAACCGACTCACCTGTGTGATCCGTGAGATCAGAGGAGACTCTAAGTTGAGGGATTAGGTCGCTACTGCGACCCAAGGTAGTTCGAGATATGAAGAATAGCTATGAAATTATACACTAGTTTCGGGACAAGAATGGGCGCGCAAGTTCGTGACTTTTCGGCTTGTTTCGGCTATTTCACGAAATGAGACCGGCGTACTTCGTGATATCTTGAGATCAAGGAATAAATAAAAGGAATAAAGGAATAAAGGAATAAATAGAGGATATTACATGGCCGCGCAGAGACACGAAATGTCTCTTCGAGTGTTGAAAAACATTTTACTATTGAGCGCTCTTTTCGAACTGCTTTATGATGAGTTTAAAGTTAAAAAATGCCGCACAAAGACGTTTTGTCTTTGTTGAGTGTTACGTAGTATAATTGCTTTCGTGCGTTGCGTAACTTTCTCGAATGTTCATGAATAATTAATTAGGACATGTTTACATTTCAGCATGAGTCAGCAGATTTGCATCAGTTAGTGAAGTCAAAATATGTCGAAAAGCTACTACTAGTCACCTGTTCAGTATTTTCTAGAACCTTATGTCAACGGTATACAAGTTCCAAGCGAGTTCTTTTGACGAACTAAGTTTTTTTTTCAAGTTACCAACCAACTTACAACTTACAAGTTGGCGGAAGCCGTAAGATATCTGAAGTCCAAGTGAGAGTTTGTTATTATTGGCAGAGGCTGTTAAGTGTTACGTAAGTTCAATTCAAGTTTGTGTTGGCGGATGTTGTGTTTTAAAGCTCTGTCTGTGGTATTAAACTTCCTTGTGTTAATCCGACATCCCTGCGTGCTGACAGTCAGTGAATAATTATCCTCAAAACATTCGAACTCGTAACATTGAGTTTTAGCCAATTCCATGCTCAACGTAATTGAGTCCTTACCTGTGACTTACATATCTTTAATCAGTACAAGAGACTGTTATGCTGTTTTTGAAGCCTGATGTAAGAAAGATACAGAATTCTTTTTTCACTGTTTGATTTGTTAGACTTGTTATTCACCGCCAGTAACCTCATATTTGACTTAGGTCTAAACGTTTAGACCAAAGTCAAATTTAGAAGGATTTGTATGGAGTCATCAGAGCATAGCTGGGCTAATATCTCAGAGACAATTTGCCCCCAAATGCTAGTTTTTGGCAAGTAGGGCTCTTGGATGTTGCTCTTTTCAGAATATCCTGACAAATCCCATAATTTCACCAATTAACACCTTACTCTCACTATATTCCATTTCTTACTATTCCTCCGCATTTACAATTAATCAGTTCCTCAACCACGACGCTGACGTGTACGCTCATAGCCAGGGCGGATAAAGGTTGGGCGGTGAAACGAGCGCTCCGCTCTTCATTTAATGTGTGATGCGGAGTAGGACTGGCACGAGCGCTCTTTCCGCGCTTCCGGTGCGCTTCAAGGCCGGCGAAATTTTCCTTTTTGCAAACCGGAAATCCTATTTTCTTTCTGTAATTTCAGGCTACAATGTTAAACAGATAAATTCGTTTCATAACAATATCAATAAACAGTTTCATATGTTTGTGTCTCTACGTCTTTAAGTCAAACTTGTTGCTCGTATAATGCCAAAATTTGAGTTTAAAGGGACAGTGTCCCGATTATGCGCACGCGCGAGCGTCATCTGTTTTTTCTTCAAAAGACAATAGAACTGTCATATTGACTGGACAAGATTTCCTTCCGGACCGCACCGCCGACAGAGATTTAATGTTTATATTCTCAAGTAATATTTTAGACTTTCAAAGAAGGCTTTCGTCTTATATAAAAATTTGGCTCGCGGTTCGAAGACTTATCGCGATTATCGCTAGCTGGGCCGCCTCGCGACCCGAAAATCTCGTTGGGCTCGCTTTAAAAACATATTTTCTAATTTGAAACTCGTGTCAGAGGTCAGTTGTTCCAAGTCTAGTAATATCTGCCTGATCTGCTCGCGTTCTAGCCTCAAAAGTTTGCAAGACATAAATAAAAATGCAATCTCAACGCTATGAATCATCAGAAAGGTTAGTCAAAAATTATATTATGATTTCATGGCACTAGTTTTTCTAAACATGTAGCGCCTGTTTGTTTGATTTTGTCGGCCGTTAGGGAGATTCATTTAAAAAAGTTTACCAACGCGTCGTTGCAAAACATCCTGCTTCACGATGCTCCCCTCCACAAGATCTCCTCAGTCACATCAATGTCTCTATGGTTTCTTCCTTACAGTCTTTATTGTTGCCGTTTCATTTCTGCGTATTCCTTTCACAATTATCTGAGCTTGTATGGAAGCTAGCAGAAGAAATAAGCCTTCAATCGGCAGCAAAGTGCTTCCAATCTTTTGGTCCTCCGGTCAACGGCAATAAAAGTAACGCCAAAAAATCCATATTTTGCCCAAATCGAAACTTAACAGGAACAATATATCATTGATCTGTAATCCTGAGAAGTTTTAGTGTCCTATTGAACCCGGTCAAGCGCGATGCAAACGGATTTTTCAAGGTTCTCTTACTCTCCTCGCATCTTTTGATTTCGCGACATCCTGTCCATAATATCAAAGTTTGGTGCATGCGCAGTAACGGGATACTGTTTGAAAGTGTTGAATACCTCCTCCTTCCACTAAATATCACCTAATCGTCGTTCGCCGTTTCGTTTGCAAAAGCTTAACACTTCTTAACCTCAATTTTTACATATGTTAAAGGAGGATAAATTTTATATAACATAACAAAACATTAGATTGAAATATATTGATATAGTGGCGTTGTACTTCTTCAAACTTTGCTTCTCGGGTGCAACGCGCTACGCAGTGCGTTGCAAATCCGGCAACCGCATGTAAACAAAATTTATTGAGGTAAGTTGTAAGGTTTTTTCTCCGTTTTTCTCTCTAAAGCAAAACAAGGTAAACAGAAAAAACTGAGGGAAAACTAATTTTGAAGTTTCGAACAAACAGAAAGACGTCTGAGATGTTTTTTTCAAAATTAAAAAGAAGGATGATGGTGATTGAAATTAGCATAATTTCACCTTGCACGAGCTGCACGCATTTATACCGTCATCTAGTAATGAAACACGATCTGCTGTCCTTTAGTTTTGCCATGGATGAGATTTTCCTTCGTGTTTTAGACAGTACTTAGTTGTTTTTGTTTTGGAATAACATCGACATTGGCGAGTAGCAGAACGAAAATATAATTCAGTGGTAGAGTCATGGAAGTAATAAAAGAAACCCTTTGAAAGAAATGTTTACTCCAACTAAACCTCCCGCAAAAAATAGCAACATTTGCCTCTCGGACACAGCGTACCAGCACAAAGGAACGAGGAAAAAGTGCAAGAAAACAATTAAAGCCGCCATAACAGCGGCAGCCTACTGTACAAACCACATCATATCGCAAGCCCTGACCGAAGTCGAAAACAAGCGACATTTCTAAGCAGAGTTCCAGTCCACTGCATCACACCTTTTTGCTCGAACGCGCTCGTTTCACCGCCCACCTTTATCCGCCCTGCTCATAGCGTCTTGTTTTTATTCATTACAAGAATAAATCTAGCCATGTTATGTAATCATTGCACGTGACAGACAGGTTTGGACGCGATGGGATTTTACATTGCCACATGAGTTTATTTTGAAGAGCCAACGTTGCTTCCAGCTGCAAAATGTTCACTCCCAAGAAGAGCAAATTAACAAACCAAAGGACTTTAAACAGCTTTTTTCCGACGCTAGAAGCCGCGAATACCGATGATACGCTACTAGCCGTGGATACCGACAATCAAGACAGTAATCCCCCAAAAAATTGTAAAAAAAAAACACTGCTACTTCCGGCTGAGAAAAACGAGAGAAGAAATGGTTAATGCTGAAGCAACATCATCTACAACAACTTCCCAACTACCTTCTAAAGAAGAAGATGCCATCTCCTTGGAGAAAGGACGTGAGGACATAAGCACTGTTTTCAGCGATATTTTCCTTTATTATGGGAAATGCACCTCAGTCACTCTTGGTTAGCTGACCGAACTCTTTCTTACGATGCTGCAACAGGTCTCTGGTGGTTTTGCTACCAGGAGAATTATGGTATGTACCGTTTATTATGCCGTAAGAATTATTCTATTAACGCCAGAAACAAATCAAAAGTTTGAAACGAGCAGCCCTCGGTTAGACTACCAGGGGCACCCAACGAGAATATAGTTCAAAACCACTTAAACATAGCACTGTTAAACGTACTTAAGTATTTAAACGGTAGATATGGGCATATTTTTATCCCCTAAAAATTTTTCATCTGTTCGGATTTCCTAGCTGAAAGTCTAGTGATCCGAAAATTATGGGGATCTAGGTGACCTTTTCAAGGTAAAAATCCGTTAAAAATGGGCAATTATACCATTTTTTAGATGGTCGAAAATCCTAGGAGAGGCAGGCAAGCAAGAAATTTTACAACAAATGTTCCGAAAATTCTACATCTCAAATCGTTATTTGCACAGCTATTTTCGAAAATTGACGTTGGGTGCCCGTGGACTACGCAAAGTGGCGTATCGCGACCAAACAAACATCCCTGTGCGGGGCAGGGTTCTGGTTTGAACTGCCAACGGTCGCGATACGCTGATTGGTGGATTTGAATCGACGCGCATACTTCAAATGCCTTTGGTTGAGATTTTTGCACCGGTAATGTTGAGAAAGCTGGTCTTGCAACTTCAGGATCGCTCTTCTTGAGAAATTTTGGAAGGATTGAGCTCTCATTCAGATGGGGCTGGATACATATCTAGCGGATCGGGATCCGGTATTTTCGAGGTAAGAAATTAAATAGTTTGGCGTCAGTTCCAGCGTAAATTGGACTGGGTCACGCACCGGCGGCTGATTGCTGCCTGCCTTGTCTCCTTCTTTAGTTCGAACCGCCGAGGTCAAATATTCATCTCGCAAAATAACGCTTAAAACAGCATGGGATGGCGAAAAAAAACATGACACATGTCTCCAGTTAACATTTTCTTCAAACGTTTATCGAAAAATTTGCTTTAAATTCTGCATTTTGGAACAAATTATAGCCACCGTATTGTTCATATGCATTTCTTCTATAAATAACAAAAGATCGTTGCTCAGATTTCAATCAACAACGGCANGGTATTTTCGAGGTAAGAAATTAAATAGTTTGGCGTCAGTTCCAGCGTAAATTGGACTGGGTCACGCACCGGCGGCTGATTGCTGCCTGCCTTGTCTCCTTCTTTAGTTCGAACCGCCGAGGTCAAATATTCATCTCGCAAAATAACGCTTAAAACAGCATGGGATGGCGAAAAAAAACATGACACATGTCTCCAGTTAACATTTTCTTCAAACGTTTATCGAAAAATTTGCTTTAAATTCTGCATTTTGGAACAAATTATAGCCACCGTATTGTTCATATGCATTTCTTCTATAAATAACAAAAGATCGTTGCTCAGATTTCAATCAACAACGGCACCCACTAACAGAGGGTGGTCTGCCTGTGGACTGAGCAACGTAAAAATGCCGTTAAGGCCGAGTTGCTTCAGCGGATTTAATGTTTTCATGAGCAATTGAAAGAAAAGCCAGAGCGTGAAACCCGTCAGCCAGTTATAGATAAAACTATCACAGCTATTTATTGGCTCGCTAGGCAAGAAATATCAAATGAGGAACTATTACCGCTGACTGAGTTGACAAAATTCCTTGGTGTGAAGGTACTCAAGTACTTTGAAAACAGGGTCAGCCCCAGTATTAGGGGATGTTTTTTACCATTGACCAAACAAGCAGGGAACTTCTGTCTGCAAGTGCAAAAAAGGGCAACGCTTTCAGTATCTTAGCGGACGAGGCTTGCGATATTTCTGTTGTTGAGCAATTAATAGACCTTGTCACGGTTTTCGGCGCCATCTTGACGAATAGGTAAACGTGTAAGAAATTACAGAGTTTGTATGAGAATCTAATGTCGAATAATTTCCGTAAAACGGCTGTTCTGTAAACTAAAGCTACAAGACAAAAACAATTTGGGGGGCGTACCCGTCTGTTGTGTCTGTGAAGCACTTTGATCATTGTCAGAGTACTGCAAAAACTGAATTTCTTGCAATCGAACCTGTGTGTGATCCCCAAGAAGTAACAGCTGATGCTGTAACGAAGAAGCTTGTGGAAGTAATAGAGAAATGCGTGTTGTTCGTAGAGAATCTTTAGTGATTATGGGTAGGTGATGGGGCAAATGTAATGGTGGGGGAGGGAAATGGTGTAGCTGCCCGTCTTAAGCGCCTCAACCAGTCTATTGTCAATTTTCACTGTATATGCCACTAACTGGCTCTGGCGTGTGGAGACAATGGAGATCAGATAAATTACATCAAAGATGTTGAAACCACCCTAACGGAATTTCTTGCTTCCCTGCCTCTCCTAGGATTTTCGAGCATCCAAAAATTGGTATAATTGCCCGTTTTTAACGGATTTTTACCCTAAAAAGGTCCCCTAGAATATTCGGGAGTCTTTTCTTGGCTAAAATTTTCGAAAAGGTCAGTTTTGATCCCTATAATTTTCGGATCACTAGACTTTAGCTAGGAAATCCGAACAGGCGTAAACTTTTAAGGGGATAAAAACATGCCTATATCTACCGTTTAAATACTAAAATACGTTTAACAATGCTATGTTTAAGTGGTTTTTAACTATATTCTCGTTGGGTGCCCCTGAAGTTTCTTGGGAACGATCCTTTAGCTTTAGATCATTATAAGAAAGCCCGGACTTCCAAGTTTATTGGGGCAATTTACATGCTCACTAAAGTTTTGCCAATCTTAAATTAACTTAGCAAGACATTTCAGTCAAGTCATCTAAACTTTGGACGAGTCAAACCTGCCCTTGACTACACTTAGACTCAGCTGACATCGTTGAAGAGTTCACACCAGTTCTTAGATGATCTAGAGCAGGATTTGCATGAAGGCGGGAGACTCGGCCGTGTTGGCTTGACCCTCAGTGACCAGGATTAGAGGGTTATTTTAACCCTGAATGAGAAATACATCACTGCATTGAAGCAAAACATAGAACAACGGTTTCATGTTTTCATGTCTTCAATCCCGAGACAGTGCGGCCATGGGATCGCTTCTCTAAGAGTGCTTGCAAATCACTATTATCAAGACAGATGATGCAAAGAGCAAGAAACTGAAGAGCTGTTTTCTGAATGGAACAAGGTCAAGTTTGACTTCTTGAAATGGAAGTCCCACATGCCAGAGCTTTCGGTGATGCAAATAAACTTTAAAGAGACTCCTTCGAATGAAGTCAGAATTTGGCCACTTTTCCCCTAAATTAGTTACTTTGGTAGAGATTTCAATTTCTGCTCCAGTCACCAATGCTTGACCAGAATGAGGTGCTAGTGCCTTGAAGAGATTAAAGACAAGATTTAGGAGCGGGCTTAACAGCGATCTCCTGGATGCTCTTATGCAGATTACATTGAATGGCCCACCAGTTCAGTCAGGACCTGGCTTACCGTGAAGAGGTGAAGGAAATCACCCACTCACATCCCAAGTCAAAGCTGATCCCAGGGTGCAAGTGAAAAAGTGCAAGCAGTTACTATGGTGGATCAGGAAGTTCAATCTACTGGTACTCAGAATGAGGAATTGACAACAGCTGCAGAAGCTGAAGAGATTTCCGAACTTGATGCAGAGAAAGATGCTTTTAGCCTGGACTTTCTTGGTGATTCAGACAGCGGCTCAGGTCTTGAGAGTGAGGATGAGTAGTAGCTGAGTAAGTCAAAATTAAATATTGATCTTGCTCATGTTAGCAACTCACTCGTCCTCACTTGAAAATTGAAAGCAAAATCAAGCGTTCTATCCAGTGAGCAAGGGCTGATTATCAGAATTCAAACGATTTGCCAAGTTTTCAGAATGCCGTTGGAGTTAAGGTATTAATTTCTCTCTTTAATGCCTCCCAGAATTCACCAAATTGCATCTTTGGGCTTTCACAATGTCAAACATTTTCCTGGGAGGGCATGCCCCCGAACTCCCCTAGAATCTCGTGCCCGCTGGGCACTCATCTATTCAAAATTCTAACAACAACCCTCCTATGGTGTCACCATTCAAATTAGAGTACTTCAGCATTTCAAGGCTGTAATCTAAGACAAATTATATGGAGCCCAGTGTTCTGAAACCATGATATTTAGGGTGCACAGCATGAGATCAATGTGAAAACTGAGAGTTTCTAGTTAGGCAAGAGTAAGTTGCCAGTGGCCATGCAACAGGTGCTGCTAGAGTACAGCCCTGAGTACTTTAACATGGTACAGCTATTTTTAGTAGCGGGGCTCCCACGCGCGCTTCACAGAGCCCCATACTCATAGAATATGGTCAACCTCTTTTCGTTTGGTTGTCACGTGATTGACCGAGCGTACCTACGCGTCTACGGATTGTACGGGTGGGGTAAAGGGTAGGGGAGACTATCAAAAGGAAGGGAGGGGTGTCACAGGCGTGTCTAGGCAAGTCCACATCTTTTACATTGGACATTCGCAATATGGTCAATTAACAGCTGTCAAAACAGGATAGCCACTAACCAGTATCCCATGACCATATCGCGGGCTCATGTGTCAATTCACTGACGTGATTTATTTAGAAGCTGTCCGCTGACCAGTTAATTGTTTTACTAGATCGCGATCAATGTTCAATCTCATACTTTCTACCTAGTTTGGGATCGGAGCACAGGAAAACTGATACACATATTGGACATCAATGTTGTGATCAATTGACAGCTGTCAAAACAAGGTATCCGCTAACCAGTATCACTTGACCGTATCGCGGGCTCAGGTGTCTACCCGTCGAGGTCAAGTATTTTTTTGAAGTTATCCGCTGACAAGGTACTGGTTTCCAAATGATCGCAGGCTCAAGTTTAATTTTTTTTTAAATTCATATGAAATATGTTGTGTTTATGTGCCTCACAATTAAAATTTTGATTTCAAACTGACCTCGGACGCGAAAATTCAGCCAGCTGCTACAGGCAGGGAAGACAGTTGCTTTTGACTTTTCTCACCATGGTCACGCGTTGGTCACGCTCTACGTCCAATTTTTATGCTCTGATTGGTCAAAATTCGACAGGTGAGTTCATGCGGAAAATTTATGCAGCATCTTGAATCTTGTTTACTTTGACAGCTGAAGCTGACGGAGTTTTGTGTCAACTTGTGATGTTTTGAACTGTCTTTTTTCCACTGGATGTACAAAATGAAACTCAGCTGCTATCAGGAGCCTTCTGTTATTCATGGCTAGTTTGTTTATTGGGTTTCAGGGACCGCGGAGCAAGGTGAAAAGTGGGAGGGCTGACAATTGAAAATATTTTTTTCATATTGAAAATCGAAAAAAGGAATAAAAGGAATAAAATCATAGTATTTGTATGTTTACTGGTTAAACTCAAACTCATCATTTTCACTGCAAGTAGTTGTCGTCTTTTCTGCAGAGCTTACAGACTTTGACGAAGTCCCAGATAACTCTAATAAACGACCAACATACAAGGTCAGTTCAGATTCAATGCAAGAAAAGAAGGGATTACAATTTTAGTATAGAAAATACTACACTGACGTGATCTGAAAAATTTCTAACTGTGGCCGTTCACTGTTCAAGTAATGTAATTCTTCTTGCCATCGAAAATTTTATTGATTCGAAAGGAGAAAGAAAAAGTATAAAACTTTTATCAACTCAAAACAACTACTCACCTTCGTTTGGCTTGGAAAAGCTAGTAATTTTCTTATCTCATCTGATAAAACTGATAAAAAACTCTGCCGGAGCTAGAAGTACAAAACACGCTGCCGAACGAAGCGAAGGGGTGGCCAAGGCATGGCTGGGGCAAGTCGGCCCCAGGGCACAATTACTGCGAAAAGCACAGGAGCCCCACAAAATGCCTGGCGTTTGAAATTAAAGAAAATACAGAGAATATAGCGGAATATAGACGGAAAAAAAACTTATTTCAATTTTTTTTTTTTAACTTAATTATTTTTCCTTTAGCGCAAAAAGTGGGGGCGGGGGCGCAAAAAAGTGGTGGGGCCGCGGCCCTACCAGCCCCTCCCCCTCCGCGGTCCCTGGGGTTTTTGGTTGAGAAATACGTCACTTGTCAAAGTCGAAAATCCGATTTCGGATGGCATCGTTTTCGTTTTCACCTTGCTTAATACGTAAGAGGGTTGCAAAGTCTGAAGCGATACTGGCCTTACTTGATACCTTTCAGGAGCTGCATCTCGAGTGGTAAGCCTGAGTAATTATTGTATTTGATGTTTGTTTCTTATTTCTAATTTAATGAAGTCGAGCGTTTATGCGGCTATTTTGTTTACGCACGTTTGTAAGATTTGAGACAATGATCTGACCGAGTATCAGGTTTGTTATAAGCTTACAGATCTTTAAAAAGCCTTTAGACATTTTCTCACCGTAAATAGAAAGAACACGTTGCAAAGAATATTTAGTTATAATTGTGGCTGTAAAAGAAAGCTTTGAGCGATTTTCTTGCCTCGAGTTCGTCTTTGAAAAAAGCAAACATCGGGAAGCCGGCTTAAAACATAAACTTCATGCAGCTTTAAGCTCGAAGACTCAGGATTTTTAGAGACACTTTGATACTTGTCTTCCTGAATGAAAATTGTCGTCTCTGTATATGTTTCACCGAATTATATTTCTTTTATTGATTATTAGTAGTCTCTCTTGTAATTTTAATTGCTGTGCCGATTGTTTTCAGTCGTTCAGTGAACAACGCTTCCCAGAGTACTCAAAATGCCGCGCGTTAAACCATTTTAAAATAAAAAATAAACATAATAAATTATTTATTATGTTGGAGCGTAAGTCTGTTAATGTTCATTCAAACACTCGCCACAGCTAGCACTGCAAAAGTCAGAACCGGCTGGCCGTATAGGTGATTTTGGAAATCTTTTTTAACGGTTTAGCTAAAGCCCAGCGTGCTTCGATCGTCCTGAATATTGAATGATAGCAATTTGTATTGCAAAATTGTGAAATACTGCATTCTGTTGTCCGAGGTCTGTATGATAAAAGCAGTGCCTCATAGTACTGTTTCACTTCAGATGTGATGTATAAATGATATAAAAGGTCGGTTTACACGCACCCAGATTTGTTGGCAAGATTTTGTAAAGTAAACTTGTCGAACGCAAATAATTCGGCCGGAATTTTTTTCCAGGCCTAATTAACCTACGGTGATCAAGAGCCGTTATGGCTCTAAATAAATGTGATGGAAGATGATTGCCAGTTTTTGGGTGTACATATGAGGCTATCAACTCGATGTAAGATTTGGTTCACTCTTGAGCTGTTTGCAAATTTTTTTTCTCTAAAATCACTTAGCCTTTCCCTGAAAAGTCACATGAATGTGCTCTACAGTTAACTGAATTGTGGAATACAAGTTTATTGTTTGATTTAAATTATAAATTTATTAATGGGAGCCTCGCTTTTAGCCCTGGCTAAATCTAAATATTATGTAATTGACCAGTCCCTGGCCGTCTTATATGCTTTACAGAAAGAAAGCAAAATAAAGTTTGTCATAAAAGATAATAGTTATTTGTGATATGTGTACAAAGGGTTTCGTTTATCGTTTGTCATCACTATAGTCCCTTAGGTGGTTGTTAGTGAGTGGTGTGTCACGAACCTCACTCATGGTTGGTGGGTTCTGAGCCAAAGCATAATTGGCATTATTAGAGAAAGAGTAAAATACCATGTTGGTAATAATACCCTCACTCGATCAATGAAGACTATTGCCTGAGGAGGATGACCTGCAGGCTGCATGCGGTTGATCATGATTATCATGAGAAAAAAAGATAAATGAAACCTTTAAAATAAAGTTTCCATACCACTGCAGAGTGGACAAAAGACATCGTAGGCAGTATTTTGTTTAAAGCATTGACCTACCATGTACATAAGAATATCTCTGATCATCACAATAGATGTCTGGTGATCATTCCAAGCAGCATTCAATGTATCCAAGAAATTGTTATTGAGTGAAGCCACAACATCTTTGCGAATCTTAAAAGAGTAAAGCAAAAAGGAGAAAACATGACCAAAGAGAAAAATACCAAAATACAACACGTTGTCACAAACTGAATCCCATTTGTCTGCCACATGACAATGCAACAGCACTAATAAAATATTATATTCAGTGTGAGAGAAATTCATTTCTTGCCATTTCTACAGGCTCAGCCAGAAAAAAAATAACAACCCTATTTTTTTCTATAACAGGAAGAAGATACCTCACCTTTTCTGTAAGATGATCTGTAACAACCTGCTTGAGCACAGAGTATAATTTTTCTCCATGATTATGTAGAACCAAAGTGTAAGCACTCCTACCAAACAAATCAATAACAGGTGAGAAGAAAAGCCTGCCTTTGATTAGAACTTACATAACAGCACTTCCATGTACTTGCAGTATACTACAAGACAGTATCTAAAGATTTTCTAGTCACCCAGGAGCAAAAGTTAAGAGCCAGGGGCCACCGGGTTCTGCTCGAATTAGGGGTCGCGTTCTCATACCTCGAAGGCAATAATACAAGCTTATATAGCACTTTTTGTAGGAATTCAACAGCGTTTTACAATATATGCAATTAAAATATTAAAAACTATTATTCAGAGTAATTAATTAAAAACTCTGAAACTATCAAATAAAATAACAATCACATAATTGCTAATTTATATAAAATGAAATATAGAATTTAGAATTTACCTTTCTTGAGCACAGAATCGGTTGTCTTAGACAAAATCACTTCAACTAAACACGCACAAAGCGTTGTTATGCTTGTACACACTATTCTTATAATACGAGCACCACGACGTACCTGGATTCTGTCTGTCAACAACTTTAGAAAATCACACAACTAACCACGTTCGCGGCACTGATAAAACTATCCACAACCAACCAGGCACAATGTTTCCACACTTAATACGGGCGAAATATCATCAAATTGCTCTCGCTCAATAACTCTCCTTTTCTCCACATAAATCATCACATGTAAACTTTCCTGACTCAGTCGATTTATTCAAGAACCCGGATGCAAACGAGCCGTTTTGAGAGGGACACATAGAGACCGGCCTTCAAAACAATTGGTGGTCAGAAATATGGATCAATTTTGCTCTCGCCGTATAGATTTGACTCCTACAAACTACTTTTTGAGGCCAGAGACTCGTCACCGCCCACATCAAAGCTCGCAATATGATGCCTTTCTGTCTCAAGCCCGAGATCACTGTTTCACCCGTTTAGCCAAAATGAGACGAAATACTCAAACATATTGGACGGCAGTCTTTGCCAATCGTGAGACTTGTTCCCTCATAAGGCTTAATGATGCCTTCCGGAAAGCTTTGCTGCAGGCGGCCAGAAAGAAGCCTAGAAAATTAACCGACCAAGGAAAAACAACTTCTACCACGCATGCTGATTTCAAATTTAATAGTGTTTTATGACACGGAGAGAATGTTAGGAAATGATAGGTAGGGAAGAGGGGGGAGGGGAGGTGGGGAAAAATGAAAAAAGCATTATAAACATGCTTTTTTTCTTTCTACTGCAGCTTGATAGAGTTGTTTCGTACTAAAAAGATCATAAGAAAAAAAAATGGTGAAGTAATGAACAAGCGTCAAATGAGACCTGGAGGAACGTTTTTGCAAATCCAGACAGATATATATATATATATATATATATATATATATATGTTGTGTAAAAGAACGGTACCGTAAGAAAGCTGTTTTTTTACACTGATATATATTTGTAAAAGGACAGCTTTTTTACAAAAATATATTTTGTAAAAAAACGGTCATACTCTAAATGTTGTTGGTGAATTCAGCTAGTGTTCATATTAAAGTTGTTTAGCCTTTACAAGTGTTTTCTGGCTTTTTTCTCGATCTCTAAACTAAAACACTCACTGGCGTACGTCCCAGACCGCCTTTATAGTCCCTAATTCTTATAAACAAATCAGCTGCTGTTTTTATGGCCTTACAAGTTGCTCTGCGTATTGCAAAAATTAGACTAACAAGCGAGTGTATGTACGCTTGTAGCTATAGGCTAACGTTTCCTTTTGCTTGATTAGCCGACTGAACATGTTCCTACATCATGTTGAAAGCTTAAAGTTGTAACGCAGACATGACACTCTTGCATGCATCAACATGGATTTCAACATAGCATGAATCTCGTGCTGTCGTTGATTCTTACTGAAGATTTTATGCTAGAAATGGAGTTATAATTTATTTGTCCACTGCTAAGAGCATCAAAGCCCATCAAAGCATTGTAGCCAAGTATTTTGTTGACAGTTAAACCGATTATTGCAGTTGATAACCTTGGGAAAATAGATAAATAATACAGAACAATATTCTGTACAGTTTTCGGCTTGAACAAAAGTAGCAATGAAGGAGAGAATAGAAGGCTTTGGTTGCAGTGACAGACAGTGAATAACCCAACCATTCTATTATTGCCTAACTTGCAGTTACTGCCTTGCGTGACCTCGGCCGATAAGCATAACAAATGAAATTACTGCCTGTTCCTTCTTCGCATCCAACAATTAGAAGGTCCTGGAAAATTGAATGACAAAGGAAACAAGAAGAAATAATAAAAAGAATAAAAAGAACGTAAATTTTTAACGCTGTCAGCGAGTTAACAAGGGAATTTAAAAGCCCCACAATAAAGGGGACTCGCGAACGTGAACGTGACTAGCCGGATATCTTAAAATGTACGGTTTGAGAAGCGCACCAAAAAATACAGTTCAATAAAGTTCGAACCATGCTATAGAAAACAGCCTGTCTTCGATAAATGGGTTTGTCACATGGTCTTTATGTGTAAAATAGCAGGATTTTTACATCAAAAGGCAGCTTTCTTACAAAAATATCTTTTGTATAAAAACAGATTTTTTACATAAAGAAGCAGCTTTTTTACAAAAATATATTTTGTAAAAAAGCAGTATTTTTACAACCGGTTAACTTGTAAAAAAGCAGTATTTTTACAACCGGTTAACTTGTAAAAAAGCAGTATTTTTACAACCGGTTAACTTGTAAAAAAGCAGCTTTTTTACGTAAAAAAGCAGTATTTTTACAACCGTTCAATTTGTAAAAAAGCAGCTTTTTTTACATAAAAATGACGCTTTTTTTACAATGACCGTTTTTTTATGCAACATATATAAAAAACTGCTTTTTACAGAAAAATATTTTTGTAAAAAAGCTGTTTTTTTACAAAATATGTTATTGTAAGAAAGCTGCCTTTTTATGTAAAAATCCTGCCTTTTTACACATGTAAATTTTCATGAAAAAAGAGCTTCATGCTCTTCCTTTAGACCATTTGACAAACCCATTTATCGAAGACAGGCAGTTTTCTATAGCATGGTTCCAACTTTATTGAACTGTAGTTTTCGTGCGCTTCTCAAAGTATACGTTATAAGATATCCGGCTAGTCACGTTCACGTTCCCCTGTCCTCTTTATTGTGGGGCTTTTAAATTCCCTTGTTAACCCGCTGAAAGCGTTAAAAAGTTACGTTCTTTTTATAATTTTTATTGTTTCTTCTTGTTTCCTTTGTCATTCAATTTTCCAAGACCTTCTAATTGTTGGATGCGAAGAAGGAACAGGCCGAAGTCACACATGGCAGTAACTGCAAGTTAGGCAATAATAGAATAGATGGGTTATTCACTGTCTTATTTATAAGCAATGCCTGTCACCATCTCTTGCAGCAACCAAAGCCTTCTATTATCTCCTTCATTGCTACTTTTGTTCAAGCCGAAAACTGTACAGAATATTGTTCCATATTATTTAATATCTATTTTCCCAAGGTTATCAGCTGCAATAATCGGTTTAACTGTCAACAAAACACTTGGCTATAATGCTTTGATGCTCTTAGCAGTGGACAAATAAATTGTAACTTCATTTCTAGCATAAAATCTTCAGCAAGAATCAACGACAGCAATTGTTAGGCAATTTCCTGTATTATGTTGTGCTAGACTTCTATCACGGGATTCATGCTCTTATCTGTCGAAATCGATGTTGCCGCATGCAAGAGTGTCATGTCTGCGTTACAACTTTAAGCTTTCAACATGATGTAGGAATATGTTCAGTCGGCTAATCAAGCAAAAGGAAACACTCGCCTACAAACGCACATACACTTGCTTGTTAGTCTAAATACTTTACAACACAGAGAGCAACCTGTAGGGCCATAAATACAGCAGCCGATTTGTTTATAAGAATTAGGGACTATAAAGGCGCCTGTAACGTACGGCAATGCGTGTTTTATTTTAGAGATCAAGAAATAAGCCAGAAAACACTTGAAAAGATTAAACAACTTTAATATGAACACAAGCTGAATTCGCCAGCAACATTTAGAGTATGACTGTTTTTTTACAAAATACATTTTTGTAAAAAAGCTGTCCTTTAACAAATATATATCAGTAGAAAAAAAAACAGCTTTCTTACGGTACCGTTTTTTAACACAACATATATTTAACAATTATTCGCCGAAGGCTAAGTTAATATTGTTGAATAATCCCCGAGACGAATGTTGAATAATCCCCGAGACGAAGTCGAGGGGATTATTCAACAATATTAACTGAGCGGTTTAAAAGAAAACGCCGAAAATTTCAATTACTACCCAATTCTGAGAAGAAAAGTAGAGCTTCATTTGTTTCTGTCAACTCACCGTGAATGAGAAAGTTTTCTTTGTCGCTTCTTGCAAATGCTGTCAACAGCGGCTACGATCAAGGTGAGCGTTGTTTATCTCCAAAGTTCTTTGCCTTGTTAACTTGCAGGCACGTACAATTTTCGAAAATATTTGCCTTCCTCTTTTCTCCATAAATTAACTTCTATTTATAGGCAAAATTGATCTTGCGAGAAAATCCCGAAATCACAAAACAGTGACAAAGCGACCTCGTTTTCCTCTGTAGTGGTAAACATAGCTTCGAGCGTACAAAAAGTCAGCTACAGTAAACCACTTCACAATAAATCATGCTGTTTAAACACCATGAAGTCTTTTCTTGCCTTAAAAGTCATCAGCACTTCGATATTCATGTATTTTCAAAAAGGCTTTACTATGAAACTTTGGCAAAACACCCAGTTCACGACAGCGATTTTGTTCTGCTTTATATTCACCGCCTAACGCGGTGAATATAACGTCATAGTCCGAGATAGCTAACCAATCAGATTGCTAGAATTACCAAGATCACCGAGTGTGTATATATATACCCTGATGAAGGCCGTTTAACACGGCCAAAATATAGGTGAGAAACGAAAAACATATTGTTTTACTCTTCACTTGTGGTACTGTATATATATATATATTCGTTTTCTGAGTAGAATGTATTTCGTAGAGCGCTCGACTCAATTGATTGAGGAGCATCAGCTATAACTTCACAGAAGTTCAGGTTTCACGAGTAATCATCGTTTTATTGCTACAGAACTGTTTCGTTACAGGAACCACAAAACATCCTTTCGACACTCGAAAAGAAGAAACGAAACAGAACTCTCAAAATATGTTTGGAACTTACAAAACGAAAACAAACCGTTTCAGATTAAATGGAAAATTCTTAAGAAATGTAAACCCTACAGCAACATTAACAAAAAATGTAGTCTTTGCCTGAATGAAAAGTTCATAATCATCTGTAAAAAAGAACTGTGTAGCCTCAACAGAAGAAACGAATTAGCAAGTTCATGCCCCCACAGAAATCGATATGTACTTGGAAACTTTAGAGTAACGTAGCTTAAAGGCCGCTTATATCACATTTTTTATAACGACAGATAATCCCCCTTATATAATGTTTTTGTTACCTAGCAACCCTCTCAACAGTTTAATATAACCTGAATGTAACGCATCTACCATAGCAACCATTTAAATTTTCGCATTTAACTGCCAGCCTTCCAATTCCAACAATTCAGTCATCAAAATTGCCTGATGAGTGTGGTCCTTGCACCATAAGAAACAGTTCTGTAGCAATAAAACGATGATTACTCGTGAAACCTGAACTTCTGTGAAGTTATATATATATATATACATATATATATATAGAAAGTAAACTTCTGTGTCGAATGAAGATACTAAAAATAATGAAAAACGAAAGTCTTCTTTGCTTTTGCGCTACGCGTTTCACCGCTGTTGCGGCTCTTCAGGCATAGCAAAGTGTTTTTATTAACTTATTACGTCACAGACGTAATTGTAATTACAGTTATAATGGCTCTTGTAATTCGTAGCACGCGCGAGCAATTAGCGTAATTTCAAATCATTAAGAACGGGTTTATATTTCAAAATAAAAAACCTCTCTTTGTTTTTTCTCATGCCTTCGGGGGGGGCTGAGAATCTTGTAAAACGGAAAGATAGTAAACTGAGGAGTCAATCCCAGAGCCAGAGGAGCTGAAAAAAATAAAAGAGGCACTTTCATTGGAAAAGATGAAGGCACAGGCCAAACTTCACCATGCGGTAGCAGTACGCAACGAAGCGAAATTCGAAGAAAAGGACAGAGAAATGCTGAATGAGATAGAAAAAATCTCTTCTGTCCACGTTCGCCAACAACTCCAAGAGCTTTGGAGGAATGACTGTAAAAAGCAAGAGGAAAAATCCCAAAACCTGTGGGAAGTAAAGAAAAGTTGGTTTAAGAAATTCGAAGGCAACGGAGAAAATATCGCCAACTCGGAGGATGCGGCACCTACCCCGCCAACAAACCAAGATCAAAGGCGCGGAAAGCGCAGAAATGCGAGACAACCGCCAAACAGACGACGAAACAACAGCCGCCCCAGAAAGAACAACCAAAACTTCAACAACGCAAGTGACAGGAACAGAGATACCGCTAATAGTAGAAATAGTGGCAACAGAGTCTCGCAACAACGAAGAAAGAAGGGACAACAGCGAAACTCAATTCAAAATAATCGTCAACAAAGAAGTCGACCACAGGAAAGGAACTCTAACCGTAACAGTGGAAACAACCGCAGGGTTCGTAACAATAATCGTACCAGTAAGGATAATGATAGGAGCACCGGTAGGTCAAATTACAACCGGAGGCCTTTTTTAGGGCAGGGCCGGTACAGCAATCCGAATCAAACATGATTTCGGAGCTGTCTAGGGAAATGACAAGTGAGGAATGTTTCTGCAATTTAAAGATAGTGAATCTGTCTTCTAAAGAACTTACAGAAGGGCAGATCAAACTTTTATCGAAGGGTCTTAAGTTTACGCCGACTCCGAAAAAAGACATGTGTGAAATTAGCGCCGATATACAAAACTTCTGCACGAAGTTACGGAAAAAGGAATTTTTCGAGGATAAATCGGACGCTTCAGACACCGAC